GTCTGAGCCTCTGTCTGTGTTATTTGTAAAGAAAGACTTAAAAATACTCAAGTCTGAAGGAATAGCGTTTATTGACAAAATATATAGAATCTATCACAGAACATTGTGAGAGTGATCCCAACTGGTGAAAAGTTAGTATTACTAGACACAAACTGGTTACAACTGGTTCTAAAAAGGTTAGAGTTCTGAATTTAAAAATCATTGCTCCAGAAAACCATCCAAATGCATTTCATACCTACCAAGTTCATCTAACAGATTTCCTATGACCACCTGAAACTTAAGCCATATGGAGGCAAACGTTCAGTCACTACTCTGTGCTCAAAGAACCTGGCACAGTGGTTGGCTTGTGGTAAGCACTCAACACCTGTGTAATGAGTGATCGGTACAGAAGATACTCAGTCCAAAAGACAAATGAACACTTTAAAAAAAAGCTGAATTATATAAAAGACCATCACACAAAGGAGCCAAAAATGTATATATGTTTTGGGGGATGAAAGCATGAAGTATCATCTCCCTCGGAGTAAGTCATAGTTCCCTGTCTCTCGGAGACAGACAGTTCGGATGTCACCGCTGTGTACACTTCAAACGATCAGAACTGTGCTCTGGTGATAATACTCAAAAGTGGATCATTAATGTAATTTATAAAAATCCTTACCTAAAATACCTTAAAATTCGAAGATAATCTTCTTGTATCCTCTGTTTAGCTTGTCCAACAAATCTAACTTTCTTATTTTTCAAATCTTCATAACCATTAAAGTAGTCGAATAAAGTACCATCAAAACCTATTAATTAAATAAGAGGGGGAAAAATCACTTAATAGCAAATAAGAATTGGAAAACAAAGGTATATACACAATTGATCATCATTCAGCCATAAAAAAGAATGAAATCTTGCCATTTGCGACAACGTGGATGGATCTTGAGGGCATTATGCTAAGTGAAATAAGCCAGACAGAGAAAGATAAATACCATATGATCTCATTTGTATGTGGACTCTAACAAAACCCCACAAAAACAAAAGCAAGCTCACAGACAGAACAGACTGCTGGTCGCCAGAGGCCAAGGCCAGGGGGTGGATACAATGGGTGAACAGAGTCAAAAGGCACAAACTCCTACTATATGAAGTAAATAAGCCAAGAGGAGGTAATTAATGTACAGCATGGTGCCTTTAATTAGAAGTGCTACATCATGTATCTGAAAAATGATAAAGACAGTAGATCTTAAAAGTTCTCATCCCAAGGGGGAAACAAGTCTGTAAGTAGGTATGGTGCCAGACGGTAACTAGCCTTACTGTGCTGGTCACTTCTCAGTATATCCAAATAGCAAATCATTACACGGTCTACCTGAAACCAATGACGCTGTAGTTCAGTTATACCCCAATTTAAAAAATTAAAAGACACTGGGGAAAAAAATCGGAAAACATAAGAAAATCAGCTACGAACTATCTCAAACATTACAATAAAATCAAAACATCAAAATTAACCAAAGTGAAGAGTTATAAAGTTGAAATACAGGCATGAAGAGCATTCATCTGTATCCACTATCGAACTGGGGACACAGTGGAATAAAAGGCTGCATTTATAACAGGAGATAAAAGATAATACACTCAATAAACAAGATATGTGTCAGTACGTAGTGGGCAGAGACAACAGGACATCAAACAAGCTGATTTTCAAGTTAATAATGGAAAATAAACAAGTACAGCCAAAACAAACTGGAAAAAATAAATAGTGAAAATTCTCTGGAAAAATTAAGCAAGTAGTAAAAATAATAAAAAACCACAGGAGAAGTTTTTATAATCCGGAAATAGGGAAGACTTTTAAAATACAATTACCAAAACAATAAAACACAACATCAGAGCCTTTGAAGAAATTATTAATAAATTCAACTACATAAAAGATCAAATATGCCTGCACAGCAAAAAATCACCACAATGTGAAACAGGACAGGTGACGTGCTGGGAAAACACAGTTAAGTCGATATCATGGAGACTAACGGCTAATTTTGATAATACATAAAAGCCTCTTTAATACAAAGACCATACGAAGAGAAAAGTGAGCTAAAAATATATACAGGAAATATTTTTTTAAAATCTCTTTAAACATGATTTTCAACCTCAGTCATACAAAATGCAAATTTATGAGGTGCCATTTTTCAGACACGTATCACACTGGCAAAGACACAAATTCGAATCTAGTCTTAGCAGGGCTGTGATGCATCTGATCAGGAGACTTCACCATGCAGCCCTTTAAACTTTGTGAAACTTGGACCATGTGAACCGAATATCCATTCAAAATACAAACAAATTTCTATCTACCACAACATGCTCTCTCATATGTTGAACAAAAGGAAAAAGACTAATGATTTTAACATAAGGCACATAAAACCTCAGGTATCAGTACAGTGACCGATTCATCCCTGTCTCCCAGGACTTTCCTTGCTTTTAAAACTGAAAATCCCATGTCTCAGAAATCTCAGTTCCAGGAGAGCTGGGACACATGGTCAACCTAAGGACCAAGAAGGAAAAAGAACAAAGACACAGATACCATTCAGCCATCCATATGGGAGCGCTGCGATCCTGAGCGAGACCTCATCCCCTGCGGCCTCACAGAAAGGAGGCACTGCCACTACTTACGAACAACCACCACTTGTCATTTTAATTCTCTTGAACTTGAATGCGCTCTGATTATCCCAAACCCAGCCATACTGGTAAGCTCAGGCCTAACACATGCCAAGCTATTTTTGTTTATATGGCATTTTGGCACTAGAGCCAATTTATAAGGCTCCAGATTCAAAAGGAAGTAACAGAAAATTAAAACATACAGGGAGATAAACAGACAAAAACGTGATTACAAAGTAGAACACAGATGTAGTCTGTCTCTTACTGTTATTTCTCTTAATGAAGAGACTCTAATCCCCTGGGGAATGTGGAAGTAATAAGCTCTTTTTCAAGGAAACATTAATATCTGGAGGAAAAAAACACAGGATAGGACAACAGGGACAATCAGGGTTTGAGAAGCAGAGAAACCATCACCCCCAGGAAAGACGAAGGCTCTATCCATGAAGGCTGGAAGAAAAGTCTAGACAAGAAAACGGGGTAAAGCTCAGGGCTAGTGAGTTATATCGGCGTGTACTTTGTTTTGCCAGAGCATCATCTTTTAAAAGATGAAGAATCAAAATCAGACATACAGTTGAGTTGCCAAGCATAAGTGGTTAAGGACGTTAACGTCTGGAACTAGGCTGCCTAAGCTGGAATCCTAATTCTGCAGCTTACCAGCTGCAGGACTTGGAGCAAAATATTGTGGGTTAAACACCAGAACCTGTTTCAGAGGGTTGTTGGGAAGGTTACGTTTCTGTGAAGTGCTTAGAACGGTGCCTGGCACATTGTAAGGATTCAGCAAATGTTT